CCCCCCCCCCCGCCTCCGGGCTCGCCTACCTGTCGGCGCTGAGGGCGGTGAGCGTGAAGACGGAGACGCCCACCGAGGTGAGCTGGATGGCCGGCAGCAGCTTGCAGCCCAGCTCGCCGAAGAGCCAGCGCTCGAGGAAGAAGCGCGAGGCGTCCACGGGCACGCAGGTGAGGAGCAGCAAGAGGTCGCCGACGGCCAGGCTGGAGATGAAGATGTTGGGCACGCTGCGCCCGGCGCCCTGGCCGGCGAAGACCTTCAGCAGCGTCACGTTGCCCAGCAAGCCCACGGCCATGATCACCAGGTACAGCGAGGGGATCACGCAGCGGATGATGAAGAGCGCCGGCGGCTGAGGCGGCAGCAGCAGCCCCGGCCCCAACTCTGAGCTGGCGTTCCCCTCAGCTGTCAGGTTGTCCCAAGGCCGAGCCGTCGAGCGCAGCGGCATGGTGGCCTCCGGCGAGGGAAGGCGTCCCCAGGGCGACGCCTTTTCTCGGTGCCCTTCGGAGGCTGGCTGCGCCCGGCGAGAGGTTTCTCCCAAGCTGCGAGCCCGCCTCCTCCGGGAAAGGACTCCGCTAGCCTGGGCGCCCTTTCCAGCGACTGTCGAGGCCGCGCGCTCTGCCCTTCCCTGAGGCGCTGAGGCGGAAACCAGCCCCACAGGAACCCATGGGCTCGCCTCCTCCCGTGTCAGGGCGTCCAGAGGGAATGGCAGCCCACGGGGTGGAAACCACCACCACCACCAGGCGTCCAGGCAGCAGCCCAGCCGGGCTCTCGTGGCGCCCTCAGCCGCCTCCCAGGCTTCTCCGTGGCTTCATCTCTCTGCCCAGAAGCAGATCGCCTCTGCAGAGCTCCCTCCGCGAAGGCAGCTCGCCTCTCTCCCGACTCGAAGGCGACTCCTCTTGGCCCTTTTCCCGGACGCGACCGGTCTCGCCTCGCCTACTTGCCCGTCTCTCTCTCAGTTCCCTCCGAGCAGCAGCAGCCCGAGGAGTTTTCCCTCCTTTTCCAGCGGGCGCCTTGCTTTTATGGACGCCCAGGTCCGCCTCCGCGAGGAGGAGCAGCTCTGAGGGAGGTCGGCGCCCAGAGTTATTGTTGTTGTTGTTGTTGTTGTTGTTGTTTTCGCGGGAGGAGGGGCACCCCTCTGGCGTCCCCCTCCCCCCTCCCCTTTTATAACTTCCAAACCCACCAAGGAGGTTTTTGCCCTCGCGGAGTGAAGCGGCAACCGGGAGTCGAGATGCGTGGCTCCGCCTCAGGCGTCCTCCCCAGTGGGTTTGTTTTCGAAGACCGGACCACCTTGGCCTTGGGACCACGGGCGCCCGGGGGCAGCAGAGCCTAGAGGTCCAAGCCTCCCATCCCGAGGGATGAATTTAGGAGAGAGTCTGCTGGGGAATAAACAAATCCCCCGCCTTGGGCTGCACTGCTCTGGGTGGGAGGACATACCCCACCGCCGGCTCTCAGACGCTGCCCCGCCGAGCGCCAACGTGCTCCCCCAGGACCGACGGCCCGTTCCTATCTTGGGGCCCAGCCGGCGGCAAGGCGGCGGCAGAAGGGGGAACTGTCCGCCCTTTGGTGCTGAACAGGCTTGCCGGAAGTTCCCCCGCCCCCTATTTGGCCGCAGGGCAGAGTAAACAACCTGTGATCTAGCGACGCTGACTAGACTCAGGTCTACTCAGAAGTAAGCCCCAGGGAGTTCAGTCTGGCTTACTTGCTGGTAAGAAAGCACATGAACTAATTCTTGGTTGGAAGCTGTCCTACTGAAACGATCTGGACACAGTCTCAGCCTAAGCCACCTCGCAGGGTTGGTTGAGTTGAAGGGTAGAGGCCACTTAACGCCGTCTTGAGTTCACTGGAGAAAAGTTGAGGGATAAATGCAATAATATACAAAGAAACTTTGCAGTTTTCCTGGGTGTTTGCAGACTTCAGATTTTACTGTGGTCTCTTTGTGTGTATTTTGAGCTGAGGCAGGGAAATCGTAATTCTTTTTTGCTTGGTCAAGACATCTGTCACCCTCTCTTTTCAGAGATGAACCCTCACAAAGTGACTGACGGCCGATGACTGAGTTGACTATATATATACTATAAGCACGCAGAAATATGCAAAGCTGCCCAAAGAGTGCCTTGCCCATTCTGTGGTAGGAGCCCGCAAACAACAGATGGAGCAAGGGATGTGTGTATGCCTGACAGAGAACGAGCGCTATCATGGGGGCGGGGGGAGTAAGTATTGGAATTAAGCGCATTCAAAGAACCATAACTCTTTGGATCAGCCAAATCCCTATCCCTGCGCCGTCCCCCGTCGACTACCGTCAAAGAGAAAGTTTTCAAAGAGCAGCCCTGGCGGCACCTGAGGCTGGGTGGTAGTGCGGGTCTTGGCGGTTAAGGGCGCAATCCTCCGCGTGCTTACTGACCAGCAGGACGCGTCGCTTCAGACTGGGACTCGGACTTCCAGATAAGTGCATATTGGATCGCGGATTGCACGGGTTGTTCAAAAACTCTCCGCGGAGATGGTGTTCTGGTCTTATTCCGAAGTGATGTGGCACAACGGTGTGTGACACAGTAGGAGGGATTTGAGGGAGGAGGGAGAAAAAGAGAGAGGAGGCGAGCTGAACAGACCAAACCCACAACTCTGGAACGCTGAGAAATGAAGAAAATGAATGAATGAAAGGAATCCCCATGCCATTAATCCACCCAGCCTCGCGTTCTTTATATGCCCTGATTCGGAGCGGAACATGTACTTGGCAGGATTCGGAATGGAACATTCGTTTGGCAGGAAGCCCCATCGATTCACTGAGATTAGTCTCACAGTGTAACAGAGGAGGGACAGGTAAGATTCACCAACACAGGGCAGTTGCCAAACACTGGCATAAGCTCATACTTTTTCTTGTCAAGCGTTTCATATTATTCATCCAGTTCAGCAGGAACATCCGCATGTGATTAGCTCTTATTTGTGTCCTTATTTTGTGTGGAAGAGAGAAACAACATCATTTGTCCAAGGATGTAGGACTTTAGCCCAGCAACTCCCGTCCTCCTAAGCAGGTTCCTTAGTATGGACAAATACATCTATTGAATCCCTACTTTTTGTGTTACAAATGGAGATGTGGAGTGGGGGACAACGGCAATGACAGGTAGGGAGGTGATTAATGTGTTGGCTGGATAATCCAGCAGGCTTAAATAAGCAAGCCAAAAAGCATACCTGAGGGTAGTGGGGGCACTGAAGATATAAGGGCACCTTAAACATTTGACAGATAAAAGATGTGTGCATGTGTAAAAGAAAAGACAGGTGAATGTAGGCTAAATTTATTTAACACATATGGAAATCATATTGCACACAGGAGCGCTTCCTTCTATGTGAATTCAGCCAATAACTACCTATGTTGCACCTCTCTGTCCTTGTGCGATCAGACCATTGGAGACCTTGAACAACTTTAGGGGCTCTAGAACAGGACATTGGGAGAAGACTGAGCAGAATCTAAGGACAGAACTCAGAGCAGATAAGAATGAAAGGAAAACAACACAAATCCTTCAGCACCCAACGTTTGTCCATCCCTGTTCCAGAACTTTTCAGTTTAGAACACAATCTTACAGGGACAGTAAGCTGCAGCAAGAAATCTTGAACTGGAGCCAGGTGGAGTCTCAGTCCTGTACATTATTACCTTGGTAGTAGCTGAAACATTCTATTCTACTATTCCATGTTGTCTCAAGCTCTTTTACTCTTCTTTCTTACTGTTTTTTTTCCTCAGTGAAAAACAAGTGTTCTTTGCATGTGTTGAAGATGCTTGCCCTCTGTACATACTTGAATCTATTAGAGAGTGTTGTGGTTCATGTAGTACCAGCAGAGAGAAATGTATTTAATTCCCTTAATTGCACAATGGAAGGACTAGTACCTTTAGGAGTTAAAACCAAGTAGCAAGTTCCCAAACACACACCCAATGCATTTAACCAGCTCACGTAATTACTCAGACACTGCTTTTAAGATAAAAAGAAAACAGTCATTTACTCACTGATGCTGCAAATTGTAGGTTTGAATTGGTTACAGAAGACTTCAATAAAACACAAAAGGATAGTAGAAGGAATGAAGAAAAGAGTTAAAAAATAATTTTTTAACGGCTTATCTCAGGCCACATGGTTGAGAGAAAAAACATGTGGACATGTGGAGCATCTTTTCCTCTCTGATGTCTCAAAAGATTCTGTCTCAACAAAGGCAGTAAAACAGTGGAAAATAGGGGAGGGGCCATCTTTGCTCACCAAGAGAAAAGATCAGTTAATTGGCCAGAGAGAGAGAGGAGTCATGCAAGCTATCCATCAAGTTTGACATGCACTTTCTCCCAAGTAAGCATGCATTCCTTTCCATGTTGCATTGCTTACAATCCCAACAGAATAAAGTACGCTACAGGATGGGGTGAGCAAAGCAATTTCCCAGCCAGAGGTCTACCTATACCTGGCTCATTCTTCACCATGCTACCACCTAACCTTTGGTCAGACCAAATAATGAGGATTTAATTTAATACTCTTCAAGCAGGCTTCATTCTATTGAGCAGTGACTATTGAACATACACATCAGCATACACGCAGATATCCAGAGGTAATCTCCATTGAACTTATCAAGTAAGGGGGGGAGGCGTTATTTTGGAACAATAACATGTGTTTCAAGATGTTACATTTTCCTTTGAAACATGTTGGTTTAAATGCTTGATTGTAGCAATTGATGAAAAGTGCTGTTTACTGAAAAATTGACTATCTTAATGCCAAAACTTTCACTCTAAATCTTCTAGCCCCATTATGATTAAAGGGACAAAATCATTATGCACAAAGCAGAAGGATAAGAAGGAATTATCAACCACTTGGACAGAAACTGGGGTGCATATTCCCCATCTGTGCTTCAATGCTATTCCTGCTCACAACTGCATCACAAACTGAATAAGCATTCCTAAGGCTTCAGACCTTCTTGAAGTCATGTCTTGTAAACCATAAGTCCAGCTTCTTGATGCTTAGATGTGTAGGAGTGCATATTTTTCTTTGGTGGTAAACAAAAGTTACTGACATGCATTTGCTTCATACTATGTTTCAGGGCCTGGCCTTGATATGCCAAAAAATTTCTGTCCCAGGTTCTTCTCCCTACCATATCTGGAATTAGGAGTCAAAGATGAAGACACATTATCTCTCCATTTAGAAATGAATCTGCTTCCTCCACCAAGTAATTATAATCTGTTAGATTGATTAAAGGTAAAGGTAAAGGTTCCCCTTGACAATTTTTGTCCAGTCGTGTTCAACTCTAGGGGGCGGTGCTCATCCCCGTTTCCAAGCCATAGAGCCAGCGTTTTGTCTGAAGACAATCTTCCGTGGTCACATGGCCAGTGCAACTTAGACACGGAACGCTGTTTACCTTCCCACCGAGGCGGTCCCTATTTATCTACTTGCATTTGCATGCTTTCGAACCGCTAGGTTGGTGGGAGCTGGGACAAGCAACAGGAGCTCACTCCGTTGTGTGGATTCGATCTTACGACTGCTTGGTCTTCTGACCCTGCAGCAGAGGCTTCTGCGGGTTAGCCCGCAGCGCCACCACGTCCCTGTTAGATTGATTAAAGACACCAAAAAGAGCAAAGAATTATCTTGATTAATATATTTTCAATGCTCCCTGCTGAGCTCTTCAACCTTAAGGATCCTGCCTTCTGTTCAGTTCCATACATACAGGGTTTTTTAGGTCATATGCCTTCTTTCCCACATACACAGACTTGTTTATTTACTTAGAAACTACTGCAGATATTGACAACTTGCAAATTTTATGTATGTACACCTGTATTACTCCCTTATTGGTGGCAGTATCCCAGTTGTGGAACTTTCTCCTTAAGAAGTTTGCTTGCCCACCTCTACAGGAAAAATGCAAAACAAAACATGTATTTATCATTCATTTCCCCCTTTTCTCACCTCTTGCCCCATCTTCTTTTCTTGTCTTTGGGAGCAATTTTCCCTGCATAATTTGTTCTCTATTAGAGTCAGCAGCTGCTACTGCAGA